TAAACTTAACTGTGATGGCGCTTTCTCTTCTACTAACAATGCAGCAGGAATTGGTGGACTATTCCGCAATTGTAATGGTGATTGGATTTTGGGATATCAAAAAGCGACACATGCTGCCTCCCCAGTTCATGCAGAATTACTAGCACTACTGGAAGGGCTAAAAATTGCAGTAGACTTTAAAGATACAAACATGAAAATTGAAACTGATAGCACGGATGTCATCAAACTACTACATGAGGACTGTAATAACTTTCAAAATGTTATTCTTGAATGCAGATGGTTAATGCACCAACTGAAGCTCCCATTACTGAGGCACAACTTTAGGGAAGGAAATGAAGTAGCTCATCGACTGGCCAAGGAAGCTTTGAAGAAACCTCCCAGTGACAAATGTGTTTACCATGCTTGTCCACCTTTTTTTGTGCAAGAAGAAATTCAAAAAGACAAGCATGAATCTTGTAATAGTTTAAGAACTATCTCTACGGATGTTTGTAATTTCCTAGCAACTATGGGCAATAGTAATGCCCTTAAGACTATGTCTTACTCCTGTAATTTGTCTTTTAAGTAATATAAATATCGAGCTTTTATGTACAAAAAAAAAAAACTGGCAATTCGCACTATTATCTGCACTTTTTACCTACATATTTATTTGATGTCACTTTTTATTTGACGTTCACTCATACAAGTCATCTTGATTTTGTAGAAGACTAAAGAGTACAAAGGTTGATAACTAAAGGAAGGTTGGCACTACCGGCTCATCATCCATTTCGACTTTTATTTTTTAGTTTCGTCCTTGTTGCGACAGGTATATCTATATATCTTTTTTTTTAAATATATGTTTATGAAAAATATATCTTTATATAAATCATAGGACTTGCCTCATTCTTCATGTTACCTTGTTTGCCAATAACTAAATGGTTGAGTTTCATTTGTGTAAATTTGAAATTTTAGTTTCACTTTGATGCTAGGAGTTAACTATTAATTTATATTTATATGTTATTCATTTCACTTTAAGTTTGAATGAAATAATGAAATAATACTATGTAATCATTAAGTATTTAGCATAGTACTAAGTGCACTTTCTCCATTATTGTTGTTGCAAATTTAACTAGTCAATTGGACATGTGAGACTTCTCTTGTTGAATTTTTATTCCGCTATAAACTAGTAGATATGCTTTTGAATGTAATCAATCTAATTTTTGTTGTGAAATTTTATATTTATAGAGTCATTCATAGTTAAAATGTTGAAGGTATTACAATTATTCAAAGTAGGAACCTTTAGAAGAATATTTCAATAATTTTTTCTCTTGATGTAGATAGAATTTGAATATCGTAGATGGATGTATAATAGGACTCATCCCAATCATGCGAGATTGAGGGAGGAATTTATAGAAGGAGTTACGGGATTTATTGCAAAGGCGAAATCGCTAAATGTATGTGGTTGAGAGTTTGTTCGGAGATATGCATTAGACCGTGCAAATTAACAAAACAGTAAAGTGCCATCAAACTCGCATTGAATCCAACTTTTTAGGCCTCGAACAAAAGATATTGAAGTTACCTATCATTACATTCAGTTAAGCTGAACAAAAGTTCATACAGATAATCAAATAAAGATAATTAAAAGGCTTTAGTATAGCATCCTTATAATATCTTTATGAGTCCTTAATCCTTGTAATATACACTTCCTATCGACTCTTGTGGTATTATGCACTCTTCACTTGAGACACAATGTTATCGATGTGGTGTTTATTTGGACATCACTAGAAAAATTACATTTTTTATTGCAGGAAAAGTTAAAAGGGGGACCAGTGTCTGATGCTGAGGTCTTTGCGGAGACACATAAAAAAAAGAAGAAAGACAGTTCAAGGGAAGGATGGGTTGAGACACGTGCATAGGAACAATATGTAAGATCATAACTTTAAGACTATTTTCACTTTGATATTGATTTATTTATATAATCCTTATTACTTTTATTTCAAGATGGATATCATAGAAGCTTGGATGAATGGTGTCAGACGCAACCTACTTCTGATGATGGTACCCCAATCCAACCGTCACCCGATGTTATGACTTCAATATGGACGGATGTAGCAGGTGGTATATCCAAAGAAAGAGTTTACGGGCTTGGAGTACAACGGCCTTCCTCTTTTCGTCCATTGCCATTAGTTTCGGATGCTCCTACTGCGCAAAATCAGGAAGAAATGGGAGCAATGCAAAAGAATATTGAGTTATTGTCGAAACGATGTGAGACGGCCGAAGCTCACATTGCTAGAATGGATAAATACATGAAAAAATACATGCCCCACTTTTATGATGATGAAGAGACTGATTCTGATGTGTAGTAGTGATTTAAGGTTGATTACTGTTCTTGGATGTTTAAATTTTATATTTAGACTTTATGGTAGATTTGAATGATGTGGTATATATATGTTTAGACTTTATTATATTAGTGTCGATATAGCTACTAAGACTTGATATTGAATATTTATACGTTAAGTAATGTTTTGGTCTGATATTATGGGATTTGAATGTTTGTTTGTTGATGTTGGAATTGGTTGGTTTGATTATTAGATTGTTTAGTTTGAATTGGTTGTGTAGTTGAAATTGATTGGTTGAGTTGGTTGTTTAGTTGGAATTGGCTTGTTGAATTGGTTGTTTATAATATTTTGCATTTGACAGGTGATGTGCTATAAAATGGCAGCATTCTGTCAAATTTCAACCCAATTTTTCGACTACTGTAGTCGAAAAGTGTGCCCAGCATAATGATTTTCCGACTACAATAATCGTAAAATGAGGCCAAAATAATACAGATTCCGACTACTGTAGTCGAAAAATACAGTAAAATAACTAATAAATAATTATTATTTGTATAATATCCCCACTACAGTAGTCGAAAATATTTTTTAAAATAAATAATAGTTTTTTCTTATTTTCCGACTACTTCAGTCAGAAAATAACTGTATTTCTAATTTTTGGTGGAAAATATTTTTCGACTACTGTAGTAGAAAATTAGTGTGCCCAGCATAATGATTTTCTGACTACAATAGTCATAAAATGAGGCCAAAATAATACCGATTCCGACTACTGTAGTCGGAAAATACAATAAAATAATTAATAAATAATTATTATTTGTATAGTATCCCCACTACAGTAGTCGGGGAAATAATTTTTAAAATAATTAATAATTTTTTCTTATCTTTCGACTACTTCAGTCGGAAAATATATTTTCCGACCTATCTTTTTCCGACTACTCTAGATCAGTCGGAAAGTAGTCGGAATAGGTACTTTTCCGACTATTTTGGTAGTCGGAAAATAGCGAATTTCTTGTAGTGCGCTTTGTCTTTTAGAAGACATAGTTGGGCATGATCATTTATTGATTTGACATTTTTATTGATTTGACATTCATAATTACAGACGTTTGTCTTCCTTATCTAAATCCTATCATGGTTTTCTTCTGTTGTTCTCCTTCCGGGAGAGAAAAAGCCCCCCTCCTTCTTGTCTTCATATATATATATATATATATATATATATATATATATATATATATATATATATATATATATATATATATATATAAATATATTTTGTCAGTATTTCCTTTTGTCCCTCGGTTCTTAACCAGAGGGCCTTTATCCCTTGACTATACTTCACGTCGTCTCCCTCAACTCCCTCAACTACCTAGACATTTTCTTCGTCGTACAGGCTTCTTGAGGGCACGATCTCGGATGTGGCCGAGCTATTCGTTGTTATTACGACTTCTTGAGGGCACGATCTCGGATGTGGCCGAGCTATTCGTTGTTATACATCTAGTTACTTCACGTCGTCGCCCTCAACTCCCTCAACTACTCAACTCCCTCATCTACCTAGACATTTTGCCCTCAACTCCCTCAACTACTCAACTCCCTCATCTACCTAGACATTTTCTTCGTCGTATAGGCTTCTTGAGGGCACGATCTCGAATGTGGCCGAGCTATTCGTTGTTATTACATTCATATTACCACGTGTGATCAGATTTTGACCCTACAAATCATAAATATTTGCTTCCAAAAATCACAACATCTGGGTGCATGGTTAGATAAAGAAGGCTCTTTCCAGAAGAAAAAATAGTAGATTATTCAAAATGTAGAGGCTTGCTTTGAATTCTCTAATTGTTGGAGACAATTTGTACATTATTTTATAAATTAAATAAATAGCGCAAATTTGCTTTTGCTCACCCAAAAAAATAAAACTAAACATAAGTTTCTCTCAATCAGCTGATTGTGTTTGTGTATTTAAGATAAAGAATATAGCTTTCCAAGGAAGTTCAGAAAAACTTTTAAATCTGCAAGGGTCGTATGTTATTTATAAAACTAAAAAAGAAGCAGGAGAAATAAAGCTGGATATATGGACTAAGATGATTGTTGACCTTTAAGGTAAAGTCCCTTTCTTAGTTTTTATTAAAACGGCTAAATGAAATCAATAATATATCGTCATTTTCTTGTACTTATATTCTTTTCTTCACTTTATACTATAGCTAATTTTTAAATTTAGGTGTTTGTTGTACGTCAAGGAAGAGAGGAGATCACTCAAAACGCTTCTTCAAAAATACAGAAATCAATTTTTGTCATGGATATATATGGCTTCCTTTTTGGACACTGAACGACTATAATGCAACCCCCACTCAACGGGTGTGACCTGCCTTGCGCACGTATCCAGAATTTTAAAAAATCGTGGGTGCTCACTAATAAAAATTATTCTGAAAAAAGTGAAAAAAAAAAATTTAGTTACGGGTGCTCACTCAATATTTATCTAAATATTTTTATAATTACCTATAAAAATTTACTAAATCTTGTCAAAGTTAATGGGCTTGCGCACTGACTGGAAATTATTTCTTTTTTCTATAAAACCTGAGAAAGATCCTACTGCTGCTGATGGATATATGACATGGAAAAAGATATACAGGGTATCGCATGATATAAACAAACTAACTTACATGATATAAACAAATTAGTACTGCAAGAATCTTGAAAACTGCCACCGTAAAAATAATCTTAATTTAGCTTTAGAGCGAGGTGGAGCAGGTATCCCCGGAATTAAGTGCATGCTTATTTATTTATTTTTATTGATGGATGAGGCAGTACTATATATATGTACACACACCATACATATATATCTATGCAAGGAAGAAGAAACTCCTAACAAACACGAGCTGGAAGCATGCATGCATGCACTTGTACAGGATCCAAACTAACTACTAGCAGCTAGGCCAAAGCGATCACTATTAACTAGTTTAAGCAGCACACGTGACACAGGTGCAGCCAGGACCGCACTTGCAGTGAACCTTGCCAGCAGCGGCAGTCATGCCCTCACTCTTGGAACATGTGCACGGATTGCACCCACAGTGTTCTCCACAGGAGCACCTCTTGTGCTCCATGCTTGCATCACCCCCTGCTGTCCCCGACGCACACCTGCATATATGCATTTAATTTATTCATATAATTATTACATTCTCATCAATCAGTGAGAGAATATATGTATAGTACTATTCCTATTAGAGATCGATCGAGTAGTACTATAAAATATACCTGCAAGTAATGCCACCAGGGCAGGGAGAAGGACAGCCACACCTTTCATCGCAAATAGCAGCACTTCCTCTAATTAGGTCAGCCATATCTCTAGCTTGTTGATACTACTACTTAATTAGTATTAAGGGGATATGGGAATTAAGCTGCTATATATGGTCAAAAAACTCGGATATTACGGTCAAGTGTAAACTGCAACAAGAAAAGTGCAACAAAATAAGGAGCGCGAGAGGATAGCTCTGACCTAGACAAATATGTTTATCTTAAATGAGATAGACGATATATAGTTGGTGAGTAGATAGAGAGGAATGAAGACGGCGTGCTTAAATTTGGTACTAGCTACAAGGGAACCAGACCCAGGTGGCTACACAGTGCAGGATTCTAGGACACTATATATTGCTTCGCGATTGACGCCTGGCTGTTACGTGTCAAGCCCCGCGCTTCTAACTCCTCTAATTTCTCTTCCCATGCATGTACCTAGTCTTCTTGAACTGCCCATTTCAATTTAGAATATTTAATTTGACTTGGCATAAATTTAAAAAAAAAAAAAAAAAATTAAAATATATGATCCTAAAAGCTTAAAGGACAAAAATTATATAAGTTCATAATATTTATGTGGCTATAAAAACTTCTCATTAATAATAAAGTAAGTAAAATAAAAAGTTTAAAATTAATTTTCATGTATAAAAATGTGTCATTTTTTTTAACGGACGAATAAAAAAAATGTGTGTTTGAAATTAAAACGGAGGGGTACTATTTCCAGCATATGTATGTAAAAATCAGGTTAACTTTTCTAATTTAATGGGATAATAATACTGCTTACTATTAAATTAGTAATCACATCCGAGGACAAGCAACTCTCCTCCGTAAATTTGATATAAATTTATAGATAGTGCATGGTTTGTTATAACTGATTAAAATAAACTATAAAATATTAGTTGATATATACATATAAATTTCTCTGTGGCGTGAAGACATTATTACTTGCGTCTAAAATCAGAGAGGCACATTAAAATTTTATTTGGGGATCTTTTTCAGCTTGTAAATAAATAGTTTTAACCTCTCTGGTAAAAGCTATTAATCAGATCACTTTGATATTCTTAGGTTGTGTTCGTCAATTTGACAACACCAAGAGTAATATAAATTCTGACGAATCTGCATATCCAAAATAGACTAGAGTAAATGATAAGAGTTCTCATATTCTTCCAGAAGAGGGCGTGTGGAGTGCTCACAATTGTAATGTTCCTTCTGAGAAGCAAAAATATTGACCTGTGATTATGATCGTCCCAGGTATTGTCTTTAAAGGGCTACATTTCCTCTATATGTTCGGAACACTAAATATAATAGGTTGTGGTGATGATTAATCCAATATTAAGAAGCCGATATCCCTTCAACACTAGAACATTGAGCTCCTCCATATAACATTAAAACGTTGTATGTAACTGGTAAACTCATGGTTTGGTGTCAGCTCGATGCATCCTACTCAATAAGTCTAAACTTTTGCCGGGGCTCCTGTTGAATGTAGTAGAGAGTGAAATACACATCAGTGTCACCAAATATGGTACTTACGGGTAAAAAGACAGGTCAAATGTTATTTTCACAATAATATACTGTTAGCACCCCTTAGTCTACCAACAATTTACATGGAAAGTTTCAAAAGATCAGGGAGTAAATGAGTCCAGCAACTTCAGACATCTATTAGTTATGGTCATATATTTCCTGTGGCAGTTATTAGTAGTAGGCCAGCAGTTATTACTAGTAGCAGTTATCATTGGTAGGTCACTTTCTCATTCCAGTTGTGTTACGAAGTTATTTCCCAATATTTAGGTGGGTGGTTAATCCATCAGTGTTTGCATTTAAAGTTATTTGAATTACTGCCTTTTGAGTACTTCAACTCAAGAGATTACAGGTTCTCTCTTAACGAACCAGCACCATAGGTCGAAAAAAGAAAACCTCTTCCCAAACTAAGTCTGATTTTGTCCTACAGCGTCCCATAACTACATCTATAACAAGGGACCGTAACAACTTGGTATCACAGCCGAGAGTTATTGGAGACCAAATGCAACAACAACTAGCACAGTTGGTGAACTTGTTCCAAGAAGAACGTGTAGCCAATCTAACCAGACAGGAAGCCATATATGCTCGCTTGGATGCAACCACAAAGGATTTAGCAAATTCGAAGGTCGATTTTGAATCAATTGAAAATACCAGTTATAATCGAGGTTGGAAGGGTAAAGCTGGAGTTGGAAGGTCAGGATCAGAAACTGGGGGAAGTTCCAGCATTCCCAGATATACAAAGTTGAATTTCCCACGTTTTAGTGGCCAAGAAGACCATTTTGATGGTTGAATAGGTGCGAACACTTATTTTGACACAAGCAAACTGCATTCCCCTCTAAATGTTGGACGTGCTTCTTTTCATTTAGAGGGGAATGCACAACTCTGGTTCCTTCAACTAGAGACAGATATGCCTCAACCATCTTGGATGAATTCAAACGTCAATGAGACCTTCGTTCTGGGCCACCAATAAGAAGTCAAAAGTTGGGAGAATTGGCTAAGTTGTGCCAGATAGGGTCTATGACAGATTACCAGGAAAAGTTTGAGCAATTGGTTCGCAGGCTAGTACCCTCACACAGTCGCAAGAAATTGAACTTTATATCAGTGGTGGTCCTGCTGACTATATAGCAACTGAAGTGGAGTTGCATAACCCTCCAGATTTGGCGACAGCAATGAGTATGTCCCGGCTTTATGAATGCAAGGGACAACCCCTTCATTCGGAATTATCAGATGTCCGTAGATCAAAGACAACAGATTTCTCATCGCAACAACACACCAGATTTGTACAGAAATTGACCAGATCTAAGATGGAGGAAAGACGCCATAAGGGACTTTGTTTCAATTGTGATGAACCATTCACCCTGGCCATAAATGCAAGACTTTATTCTGGATTGAATCTATAAAGGAAGAGGTGAAAGAATCTGACGCACAAGAGTCATATCCTAACACTGATTTACCTACCAACAACGCTTTCCATACTTCCGCTTGAGGACAAACACGATTTGACAAAGGGGAGCAATGTTAGCACCCTTTTAGTCTACCAACAAATTACACATGGAAAGTTTCAGAAGATCAGGAAGTAGACAAGCTCAGCAACTTTAGGCATCTGTTAGTTATGTTCATATATTTCCTGTGGCAATTATTAGTAGCAGTTATCAGTAGTATGCCACTTTCTCATTCCAGTTGTGTTAATCCATCAGTGTTTGTATCTAAAATTATTTGAATTCAGTAAAAGGTATGCAGAAAATTATTCCAGTCTTTGAGTACTTCAACTCAAGAGATTGCATGTTCTCTCTTAACGAACCAGCACTATAGGTCGAAAAAAGAAAACCTCTACCCAAAACTCTGATTTTGTCTTACAGCGTCCCATAACTAGATCTATAACAGGGGACCGTAACATAGAACCTCCATCTCAATTTATATGACTCTCTTTCTATTTTAAAACAAGAAGAGCTACTATGCCTCAACTCCAGGCAAGTTGGGATCTTTCTACCTTACGTCTCAAAATATTTGATGCTATTTCTTCAATATTTTGTTCCAAAATAGTTTACATTAGCCTCCTGGGGTTAAAGTAAGTGGTTTTACAAAGTTTCCAAACATATTCCTACATTATTCTCATTTGAGTATTTTCCTTCATGAAGATGAATAAACAAATTTCCATGCAAAAAATTAAAAGAAAAACTACTAAAGCTTTGTGTATAGAGTACTCAATAGTTTTGCTCATTATGGACAGAAACTTACCAATCATATCTTTGTTAAGTATCTTCAATTCCCAGTTGTTGAAGCGAATCAGGTCCAACAAGGAATACACGTCTGGACGTTTGGTACCGGAAAACTACTATTCCTTTATATGCTGCCCGTGGTACCCCATCCTGATGAAATGAACAGTTAGTGCAAGTTCTACGGAAAGCAAAAGGAGAACCATGCAAGAGGACAAATCCAGTCACAGCTAGTGTGAATAGACCTGTCCACAATCCAGGCAAAGAACAGATATGGGCCAGTCAATGGCCAATATTAACATCCTCAGACATATATGAAATGGAATAAAGATGGACCGAGCTACTTATGAATGTAAACACAATTAACATCACTAAGGTCGGGCTATCATAGGTCTAATTTCAACTCCACCCCACCCTTTCCCATAGGACTGGCCTTGAGCAACAAATAGGCGTTAAGAAAATTTTGTCTTTAAATTTGAAAACTATAATATTGAATATTGATCTAGGCTTTATTTACCAAAAAGTAACTAAATTTGCAGAAGCAGTTTGTTTAAGAATTAAGTAATCAATTAACAAGTAACCAAAGCCACAAATAAAACAAGTAAATGACTATAGCTCAATCTAAATTGTAACCTATCCACCTATTTCATTTTCACTAATTCTATTTAAAATGGCTATAGATCAGTCTAAATTTTAATATATGAACCTAAAAAATCTCCTATTTCATTTTTGCTCTTCTATACATGTGGTATAAAACCCAGAATTAATACATATCAAAATATAATATATCAACCTATCCAAAAGAATGCTTTCTATATCAATTATATGAAAAATATGAATTAAAATAAATTATCAGAGCCACCAGTGAAAGAGACTGCTGCTGCAGATTCAACTCGTGCCATCATGAACCTAAGCGGAGATACATCAAATTACTCATTCCAGTTAACTGTCCACAAGCTGAATGGACGGAATTATCTGGAATGGGCTCAGTCCGTTAAACTGGCCATAGATGGAAGAGGAAAACTGGGGTATTTGACCGGAGAAACTCAAAGGCCAAAAGCCAAAGATTCAAAAGCCAGCACGTGGAAGTCTGAAAATTCACTCATCAGCGCATGGCTGATTAATTCCATGGAGCCATCTGTAGGTAAACCTTACCTTTTCCTTCCCACAGCAAAAGATATTTGGGAGGCTGTGAGAGAAACTTACTCAGATTTAGAAAATTTCTCACAAATCTTTGAGGTAAAAACAAAATTGTGGAAGTCTAGACAAGGGGAGCGTGAAGTTACTGATTTTTATAATGAGATGATGTCTCTTTGGCAAGAGTTAGATCAATGCTATAATGATAGTGGGACTGTCCAACTGATAGTGTTAGGTTTATGAAAAAAGAAGAAAATGATCGTGTGTATTTATTTTTGGCTGGGTTAAATAAGGAGTATGATGAGGTTAGATCCCGGATTTTAGGAAAGAAACCATTGCCAACTCTTAGGGAAGCTTTTTCGGAGATAAGGAGAGAAGAGAGTAGG